AGTCCGATTCATCCCTGGTTGACAGGCGAGCTTGGAAGTGTGAACCCACAGGAGAACTTGAGACCTGACACAATCTGGGATGAACAGACGACCAGGGGGACCGCCACCTGGTTCAGGCTGTTGGAGCTGGGCCTGCTTGACCATGGACTTAATCTCCCAGGTAAGGGAAGCAATGACTTGGGAGGCTGGCAAGATGTTTTCAGGGGTCTGGACAGTTTCCTCTGCACAAAACTGGCGGGAGAGGGCATCTGGTTTGATGTTCCTGGATCCGGATCGATATGAGAGGGTGAAATTGAAACGGCTGAAAAACAGAGACCAGCGAGCCTGGCAGGGGCTAAGATGTTTCGCAGATTGAATATAGGCAAGATTTTTGTGATCTGTCCATACCACAAAGGGTTGTACGGAACCCTCCAGCAAGTGCCTCCACTCCTCCAAGGCCATCTTCACCGCCAGTAGCTCCAGATTACCCACATCATCGTTGCATTCTGCTTGGGATAGATGGCGAGAAAAGAAGGCACATGGATGCAGACGGGACTCAGGACACTTTCTCTGGGACAGGACTGCTCCCACACCGACCTCTGAGGCATCCACTTCCACAACAAATTGTCGAGAGGGATCAGGTTGAATCAGAACAGGGGTAGAAATGAACAAGGATTTGAGCTTGGCAAAGGTGGTGTCAGCTTCTGGAGTCCAGGAAAACTGGCGAGACGGAGAGGTAAGACAGGTTAAGGGCGCCACAACTTGACTGAAATTTCTTATGAACCTCCGGTAAAAGTTGGCAAACCCGAGGAACCTTTGTAGCTGTTTGCGGGTGGTAGGTATGGGCCAATCAGCTACGGCCTTAACCTTCTCTGGATCTGTTTTGACTTGCCCGGCCTCTATGACAAAACCAAGAAAACTGACCTTGGATGTGTGAAACTCACATTTTTCTGCTTTCACAAAGAGTTTGTTTTCCATGAGTCTCTGTAGAACTTGACGAACATGATCCTGGTGTTCCGTGGGGTTTCTGGAAAAAAGATCAGGATGTCATCGAGGTAAACAAAGACAAAACAATTTAGGAAGTCTCTAACACATCATTAATGAGTGCCTGGAAAACAGCTGGGGCATTGGTCAACCCGAATGGCATCACTAGATATTCAAAGTGCCCCAGGGGTGTGTTAAACGCAGTCTTCCATTCATCTCCCTTGCGTATACGCACCAGATGGTAAGCGTTGCGCAGGTCCAGTTTGGTAAAGAAGACAGTGGCACCTTGAAGAGGGGTGAAAGCAGAGTCAATGAGTGGAAGTGGGTATTTGTTTTTCACAGTAATGTCATTTAACCCACGGAAATCTATGCATGGCTGCAAAGAGGTATTTTTTTTCTCCACAAAGAAAAAAACAGCTCCCAGAGGTGAGGATGATGGTCTGATAATACCTGCTGCAAGTGAGTCCCGAATATAGATTTCCATGGCTGTGTTCTCTGGTCTTGACAAGTTGTACAGACGACTCGATGGAAACGTGGAGCCAGGGATGAGGTCTATGGCACAGTCATAGGGTCTGTGAGGTGGGAGTGAGAGAGCCTTACTTTTACTGAAGACTTCGTGGAGGTCGTGGTAGATGTCAGGAATTCCAGAAAGATCAGGAGGATCAGGAGGGGCAGGAGGCAGGCCAGACAAACTATTAGTTGGTGAGAGAGCAGAATGCAGACAAGCTTCATGACATGCTTGACTCCAGCTAACAGTTTTCCCCTGTGACCAGTCAATATGTGGATTGTGTTTAGCGGGCCAAGAGTGGCCCAAAATGAGTGTTGGGAGCAGTGATGAGGTGGAATTTAATAGTCTCCCTATGGTTACCAGACAGGATGAGTGTGATAGGCATAGTGCGGTGTGTTACCCAGGTGAGGAGCCTTCCATCCACTGCTAAAGCATTCTGGGGAGCCTCCAGAGCCTCTGTGGTGATGCCAGCCTGTTCAGCGACTTGAGAGTCCAAAAAGTTCTCCTCGGCCCCGGAGTCGATGAGTGCCCGCAGAGGGAGTGACAGGAATTGACAGTTCAAAGTAGCCGGAACTTGAAAGCGGAGGGTTTTACTGGATGCATTCTGAGTATGGCCCACCAGAACCCCCACGTTTACTGGTGAGCCCTCCCTTTTGGCTGCATCGGGCAGGAGGAAATGAAATGGCCAGGTTTGCCACAGTAAAGGCACTCACCAGAGCTGATGCACCTATTGTGTTCTTCCAGGGACAGCCTGGCTCAGCCCAACTGCATGGGTTCGTCAGCTGGAGGTGGAGAGGGGACCACCGGGGCCAGGTTTGTAGGCACAGGAGTTGGGACTGAAGGGACTGGCTGAATTCTGGTGGAACCAGATGAGGTAACCCGCTCACGGTGGCGAGACTTCAGGCGGTTATCTATGCGGTTAGCAAGGGAAACAAGAGCATTCAAAGAAGCAGGTTCATCACAACTTATCAGTTCATCCTTCATATTCTCACTCAGACCCTTCAGGAATGCCGCTTTAAGACCCTCTTCAGTCCAATTAACCTCTGCCGCCAATGTCCAAAACTCGATGGCGTAATCTGCGACTGATCGTTGTCCTTGAGAGAGAGACATAAGCTGCACAGAAGCATTAGCTTGATAATCAGGATGATCAAAAACCAGTTTAAACTCCTCCAAAAACTCACTGAACTGAACTCCAATCGTTCGGGAGAATCTTGCCTCTGCCCAAGCCAGTGCTCTACCCCGTAATGAGCCAAAAATGTACTGAATCTTGGAGAGGTCAGTTGAAAAAGAAACAGGTCTTGGCTTGAAAATTGTTTCACATTGGAACAAAAACCTCGACACAGACTTGGCTGACCTGAAAAAGGCTCCGGAGAGGTTGCACAAACATCACGTGGAGGTGAGGCGTCCAGGTTGTGGGCACCGGGGGGAGCAGGCTGAGCAGGCGGAGTGGCAGAAGGCTGTGAGGAGAAGAAGGTTGAGAGCTGAGTGGTTAAAGCTGCCACTTGTTGAGTTAAAAATTGGTTACACTCATACAATGCCCGAATGCGGCTGTCGTGTTGACCTAGGAGCACACCCTGTTGTGCTACTGCACGATGATACTGAGTGGATTCTGCGTCCTGGTCTGCGGGGTCCATTTTGTGGCCAGATCGTTCTGTTGGGAACACTGAATGTGGGACCACAGGATGCAGACTCAGTACACAGACTTGAATGTGAATCACAGTTTATTGTGCTGAAGAAAGCCAGTGAGGGGGGGCTGAGGGCCGACGTGGAGCCAGGGTGTGGGGTTTCCAGGAGGGCAGATGAATCGCTGGAGCAGAGCTAGTAGAAGTCAGGAAGAGAGCTCGAGGACAGGGCACAGGAACTAGGCACAGGAGAGAAACAGGTCAGTTCCAGGATCAAAAATACAAAACTAGTCACAAAGTAGCCTGATGTTTACCACAGGAGGGTAACGGACGATCTGGCGAGGAGTGGAAGAATGAACTGGTGTTGTATCCTGCAGCAGTGTAGGTGGCTTGATTGTGAGATGTGGAACAGGTGAGTGATTACAGCAGGTGTGAGCCTGATCCCAGTAGACCTCCTGACTCCGCCCCAGCTCCAGACAGACACAGACACAGACACACCCACAAAAGGGAAGGGAACAAGGGAAAACACAGGGAGAAGACACATGACTTTGACAGAAATACCTTTCAAGACATGTGAAAAAGAATACATAGGTGAAACAGGGAGAAGCTCTAACACAAAAAAAAAAAACGAACATAAAAAATAATGTGAAAAGGAAACGGCAAGGCGACTCACAAGATCTCAAAAAGAAAAGGCAGAACAGGAAAACTTAAAATCAGCCATATCAGATCACTGCAAGAGAAACAATCACATCATGGACTGGGACAACGCGAAGGTCATCCGGTCAGAAAGCAACAAATTCAAACGTTGGTTCAAGGAGGCCATAGAGATCAGGAAGCGGGCCAAGGAGACCATCAACCGGGATGAGGGGGCTTTCATGCTGTCGCACACCTGGGACTCCCTCCTTAAGAGACCATCTGGTGGCGGGGGGCGTGACCGGCCTGTCAGACCTGTCAGATTGCCAGGCCAGTCACGCCTTCAAGGAAACACCAGCTGATAAAGACACGTCATGACGCACGTCAGATGACGCTTCTGAAGAAGACTGAAGTTGACAGTCAAAACATGTCAAGGTAAAGCAACATCTCCTAATCTCTTTGTCTGAGAAAAGAAAAACCTCTATACAATTCATAACACGGCTATACAGCATCACTGCTGGTAACGACATAATATAAGGAGCTGGAAAGTCCCTTCCAGGGGGGGCGGGAGGGGTGGCGGAGGGGCCAACAAACCCTGAACTTTCACTAAGCTGTATGAATGTAAAGCCAAACCATGATGTTTTTTTCTAAACCTAACCACATGCTTTTGTTGCCTTAACTTAACCATGCGCTTTTGTTGACATCCTGGCGTTGGTGGCGGCATCCCAGAATGTCAACAGCAGATGCAGGAGGATGCCTATAATATGTAGCGGCGATATGTGATGACTTGGGATAAGAATGTAATGTGGAAGGTAATGTTGCAATGTATATACACCATCATTCAGCAGGTAACGTGTTGAGTGCGCCCCCATGCATGGACAGCCACAGCAGAAAGAGACAGCATTGTGCTTATTAGACACTAATTATTGGAAATTGTTGTGCACAAATGAACTTGCACATTGACAAGTACTTTACTATTAGCCTGTTTATGTAGAATAAATTCAAAAATTGTACAGAAAAATAATGATGTGGCACCAAAAATGACATTTTAGAGCTCTCCCTGAATTTCTCAAAAGAGGCTTTTTGGAGAGCTTGTGTCTCATTCAGGGGAGCCAGGCTCCACTTACCTCTTCCGTATTTCAAACCCTGATGTCTAATGTGGGCAGTCTACATGAACAATTGCCTAATTTCATTAAAGTCAGTGCTGGTTTCAGTGCAGTTATAGTAAAATATAGAAGATACTTTAAGTTAATTTGGTATTGTTTCTCTTTCAGGACAGACTTCTGCGTTCATAAAGACGAACCCTGTGATACTGTGGGTGAGTACCACTCTCTCTCTGTCTGTCTCTCTCTATTTTTTATATTTTCAATTTCATTATGCTTTATTGTGACAAATGTCAGAAATAAGAATATTGCCAAAGCTTTCAGGACACAATTGATGAATGAGATGGGTAAAGAAATGCAATTCATCAAGTAAATTAAAATAAATCAAAGAAAAGAACAAGAAAAGGCTACAAAACAATTCATGTGCTTTTCATGTGTATGTTTACACTTGTGTGTGTCTGTGCTTGCTTGTGTGTGTGTTTGTGAGAGGTTGTTCAGCACAATGTCATTCTAAGTGTTCACATTTTGGCACTTTGTATGCTGTAAAGCCCTGTGAGGCAAATTGTGATTTGTGATATTGGGCTTATAAATAAAATTGATTGATTGAAATTGATGGATTGTTTAATGGCTAAAGAGTATCTAGGCTGACCTGATCAGTGTGTGTATTTGTGTATGTGTGTTTGTGTGAATAGCTCTTCTGTATGTATAGAGTAATAATATTTGCTCAGGATCAGGATCAGTAACAACTAGAACAACAATAATAATAATAATGATAATAGTACATGATACAATGTATGCATATATTAAAATGTGATAGCATATGTATTTTAGAGTAATAATCATATGTTCATATGTGAATAATAATAGTAGAAGTATGGCTAATAACAGTTGCAAAAGTAGTAGGTATCAGGCAGGACCACGGCAGCAACGCAACCACAACCCACAATCAAGGCGTAGCCACGATCTGGACAAACCTGCAAGACAAGGAAGTGTGGAGGCTCTGGGGAAGAAGCCAAGTTAGTAACATGCATTAATGGGACATGAATACAAATGGAGGAAGAGAGAGAGAGAAGGAGAGAGGACCTCAGTGTATCATAGGAGGTCCCCGATGAACTAGGCCTACATCAGCCTAACTGGTCCAAGGGAACTTGAGCTAGCCCTCACTATATTGTACAAAAAAATGTAGGGAACACTTAAATGACACACCAAATTTTGATGAATGAATCATTCAAGTTGAAAATCTTTACTGATGTATATTGTAGAATTTGTTGAGAACAAAATTATCTAACAGTGGTCAATGGAAACCAAAATCATCTACCCACTGTGGGCTGGATTCACAACGAAAACTAAAGTAAAAAAAATAAATCACAGGCTGATCTAACTTGTGTGAATTTTGTCATGGTAACTCATAATGTGACTCAGTAGTGTGTATGGCCCCCGCGTGCCTGTATGCACACCCGACAACATCTGGGCATGCTCCTGATGAGTCGGCGGATAGTGTCCTCTGGCAGTGCTCCTCCTGTTCCTCCTCGCACAAAAGAGCAGATACCGGTCCTGCTGCTGGGCTGATGCCTTTCTATGGCTTTGTCTGGCACTCCTTGCGTAGCAGCCAGTCTCCTGGTATCTTGTCCATGCTTTTGAGACTGCTAGGAAAAGCAGCCAGCCTTCTTGTGACCACATATATCGATGTGCCATCCTGGAGGAGCTGGACTACCTGTGCAACCTAATTGGGCTGCAGGTACCACCTCATTCTACCATTATTGACAAGGACAGTAGAACTGGGTGGGATAAGTGGCAAGAACAGAGGGCTGTTCACACTGGTCCACTTCACCACCAGGGGATTGTTCCACTGCCTGTAAGTTTGTGCAGCATATGGGTAGATGCGATCAAGCAAATAGCCTTCATGGAGCAGAAGTAGACCTCCCAGAACCAGTGTGCATTCCCTTTATAGGGGTTGTGTTGCTTTTGCCTCTCCATTGCTCCTGTAGTCACTTTCATTTTTACTTTCATTTGGGCCTCATGAAGCTGAGCAAAATCACTTAAGCTAGTCTGATTTTGTCTAAAGGAGTGAAGACCAGTCACACACTTGTGTCATTATGTCATCAATACAGTGCATGCGGCAATTCAATAATTGCACCATCAAAGTCAGCGCCCCTGGATGTGCTGCCCCACGGCACTTCCTATTTCAGGCCTTGCTTCCCCTGGAATTAAATGCTTTTTTTCCCCTCTACTCGCTCTCTGCTTGTACATACTTTGTGTGTCAGTGTCTGTATTTCACCTGGTCTTTTGTTTAACAGTTTACTTGTAATATTTGTTAACATAATTTTTAGTTTGTGTGTGTGTGTGTGTGTGTGTGTGTGTGTTTTATAATATTTATTTTTCAGTTGCATATTTTGATTTTGTATTTTTGTTGTCTCTCTGTAACTTACAGTTCAGTGCAAAAGTTTGGGCACCCTCGTCAATGTTTATTGTAAATTAGGGGTGTAACAATCCATCGATCTGGATTGATATATTGTTTCAGTGATCAACAATCCAATATCATCGATGCAAAGTGAAAACATTGTTGCCTATCATCATCTTTAGGATACACTTTTATTTTGAAAGTCTGTGTCACTGTCAAACAGCAGAAGGCAGACAGCAAGCAGCCGAGAGAAGGACAATGAGGATAAAGTTATTTACCCAGAAATATATCAGCGTGGAAATATTATTGATTTCGGAGAAAATACAGGTCAAAAGACAGAACACACGGCATATGTAAACAATGCAGTTATGAGATAAGACATGACATGCCTACCTGGACAGGCATCTCACTCTGCTCACCATGCAGACAAATGAATAGACAAATAAGAATAGAAAAAAAAAACATGTTTCAACGATGTTCAGCTGAAAAAACATGCATGCAGGGCAGGCTGAAATTGAACTGTGCTTTTCTGTCGAGAGATGCAGTGACTTAAACTGGAAGTGGGTAAGAAAAATAATATTGTTATGTGTAATTTGTTAAGCTATTAGTGGAGGAAAAAAAGTCTGCTAGCCACTAGGCTAATTTATGCAGTGTAAACGTGCATTGGCTAAGGGTCACTAGCAAAAAACAACTGTTTTGTCAATGAACCTTGACAGTTATTACTCCAAAATCCAAGATTCCAAGTTTCACTTTATTGTCATTTTCAGTGGATACTAGACACAGAAAAAAACTAAATACTGTTTCTCCATCAGTGCAGAGCTGAATTTGGTACTTTTGTTAAATAATGTTGATGTTAATCCATGTTTTATGGTTGTTGGGAGATGTCTGCATTCAGGGCTTTAAGCCAGATAGTCTTGAAGGTGATGGTTTGGGTTCAAATGAAAATATGTATTTCAGAAAAGGCTTTTTGACAGAAAGGGATCACTGTCCTGTTGTAGAAGCTATCGTCTCTTCATCTTCAGCTTTTTTACAAATGGTGTGATGTTTGCTTCCAGAATTTGGTAGAATTAAACTGAATCCATTCGTCTGTCCACCTGTGAAATATTCCCCATGCCACTGGCTGCAACACAAGCCCAAAGCATCATCCATCCACCCCTATGTTTAACAGTTAGACAGATGTTCTTTTCATTAAAATCTGCACCCTTTTTTTTCCAAACATCCCTTTGCTCATTGCATCCAAAAAGTTCTATTTTAAATTTGTCAGTCCACCAGACTTGTTTCCAAAAAGCACAGGGCTTGTTTAGACATTCCTTTGCAAACTTCTGATGCGGAATTTTGTGGTAAGGACACAGCAAAAGGTTTTCTTCTGATTACTTTTTCATGAAGGTCATATTTGTACAGGTGTGGCGGCACAGTAGAACAGCGCACCACCACTCCAGAGTCCAATAAATCTTCCAGCAGTTCTTTTGCAGTCAAACAAGGGTTTTGATTTGCCTTTCTAACAATCCTACGAGCAGCTCTCTCAGAAAGTTTTCTTCGTTGTCTAGACCTCACTTGACCTCTACAGTTCCTTTTAACTGTCATATCTTAATTATATCATGAACTGAGGAAACAGCTACCTGAAAACAATTTGCTATTGTGGGCATCAATTAATTTAGTTTTCAGAGTGCTAGGCAGCTGATTGTTGGGACAAGGTTTCAGGAGTCAGAGTATTTGTAAAGTGTGGCAGCAGGGTGTGGTTGAGTTTCCGGCTGCTGGAGGAGGGAGGGGGAGTGTCTCAGCCGGCAATCAGACAGCTGGACAGAAGGGATGGTTTGCCCAGGGCGTAAAACTAGCCAGGACCGCCTCTGGCCATAGTCCTAATTGTACAAAACAAAAATTAATACACTAATCTGGCATAAAATATTGAAAAACATGTTTCATCTTCAACATCATGCTTTTGAAGATCATTTCATCTTCTGCTCACTTAACTATTCACAGTAAGAAAGTTTGACCAGGGGTGCCCAAAATTTTGCGTTCCACTGCATGTTTCTGCAACATACAGTTGTTACCTTTGAGTATTATGGCATGTTCCTTTAAATTATCGGTTAGTGTCAAACATTACAACAAAACTGTTATTTATTAAACTCACTGTTGTCATGTCATGTGTTGTAGGTATTGCTTACCTGGGGGGTGTCTGCAGCGCCAAGAGGAAGTGTGTATTAGCAGAGGACAATGGATTAAATTTGGCCTTCACCATTGCTCATGAGCTGGGACACAAGTAGGTTTCATTGTGCTTAAGTTACACAATATTGCATATTATTATACTGCTACTCTTCTCCATGTTGCTGTTGTAAGAAGTGTGAGGGAGGTGCAGGGTACTGAAGTTCAAATTTCTCCTGATAAGGCAAAACATTATTCTCATGGAAAAAGAAAGCTCCTTTAAGTTAAAGGGATGTTGTGTAACTTTTTCAGTTGTTTATTGGCAAAAATCAGTGTCTGCATTTATAAATATGTCATCATTGGTGTATTATTACCTCCACCAATAATCTGACTTATTCTCGTAAAAGGAGAATTTTGGATTTGTTTGTACATTGTGTGGGCAAGCCGTCTGGGGAGTTCCATAACGTTTCGCCATCTTGAGAATACATCCGCCAGCAAGGGACATACAGCACCGCCTTCAGCGTTTTCGCTGAGAGCCAGGCCAGCGCTGCGTGACTGAGAAGGCGAAGGAGAGGACCATGAGGCGCTTCACTACTACCCCAGCACTACTGCAGCATAACGAAGCTTTGAGCATAATGCAGGATCATGCATATGCAGCATCACGGGAGAAGGAATCCTCGTCGACAAGAAAGCGCAAAAGGGAATCAAAAAGGCAACATGACCGGTGAATTAAAAAAATGAGGGTCAACATCGGGGTAGCCTTTCCCAGGTGGAGAGGGCTGCTGAAGGAGAAAGATAATGCAATCACGGCTAACGGCTAACAGCTAACAGCAGTGCTGGCTGCCAACAGCTGTTAGCGCCCCTGTTAGCACCGCTGTTAGCAGTGATTGCATTATCTTTCTCCTTCAGCAGCTCTCTCCACCTGGGAAAGGCTACCCCGATGCTGGCCACAAACAGTTGTTAGCGGCGCAGGGATGCGAGGAGAGGGATGAGGTGTGTGAGGTTGAGCCACTAGTCAGTCGTCAAAAGACAAGACGTGATTGGTTTGTTTCGATTTACACCTGCCCCAACAGTCCTACGTTGTAAACACAACCAGCATGGTGAGGAGGGGGTTTGTCAGCTCGCATCGCGTGTGTCTTTGTAGGAGTCTAAATGAATACTGCATGAAGTATTGGATGACATGGTTTCAGCAATGTTATCACTGCTTTTTGGTACACAGTGGCTACCACTGTTGCAATACACGTTTGAAACAGTGAGGTGCTAGAGTGCCCTATCCATTTGAATGCAACATATGATTTCAGCGTTAGATGGGAGAAATTCCGACACACTGTGGCTTTAAATATTTATTGTAAATGTAATTTTTCTTTAGTTTCTTGTCTTTCATGTCGTCAAATACTATTTGGATTTGGAGGCACATCTTTGCATTTGCTTTTCAGTTATGGATGAACAGTGGAAGTCCCCAGTCTGAATCATCAACCAAATGAAATTATTAGTTCCCTGGCTCACATCGTATCTATCAACCAAATGAAAATCTGTTTGTATATAACAGACACTAACAGGGATCATCATTTTAGAGTCCACTATGTCTGTTGCGGAGTTCATTTCAGTCATGCCTCCACCTCCACCACATCCACAGTTCAGACAGACCCAGCTCTCTAAAAACCTGGCTATGTGACCAGTAAAGGTTGAACACGTTGAAGTTGCTTTTTTTCAAAGTTGGAGAGTCTTGCTAGCTGTATTTGGATACACTCTGGAGTGTTTTGACTGTTGTAAAGGTTTTCTGTCTTTTGTCCACAAACCGTGAAAGAGTTTCCTGACTCATGTTTATTGTGATAACAAGCACTGAGTCTCAACATGACACATCAGACATATTGATTTCGAAACCTACCGGGAACTCCAGTTTCTTTGTTTCTCCAAAGTAAATTTACTTCTGCTCATCTCCATTCATATCATTTTGTTTGCATTTATGCCACTTCTGTCTACTTTTGCAGAGTTTGCCCTGTGCAGCTGCAGGAAATCTAGAGCATGTACTGTGTGACAAAATAATGTCAATTCATGGTCCACTCACTCATCACGTGGCCTGTGTCGAATGTTGCTCCGCTCATGACAAGTAATCGTACTCTGTGTGAAGGAGATTGTAAACCCTGCCTTGGTTTAAAAAAAATGATGATTATGTCGGATATGAGAAAACTGTGATGTTGTGGGACACATATACAATTATTTCTTGTCATGTGATCAGCACTCCACACTCAGGCCATCACTTTGAGCCAGTTCCATTTGCTGACGTGGACTAAGAGATAGGTTAAATTAATGTCATTGTTATTAAAGCAAGAGTTGGCACAAACTTGCCTCGGTAAGCTCATAGTGCAGGGCAGACAGGACAACATTCAACACAGCATACCAATGAAACTATCCTATAGATAACAGATTTGTTATATTTGTAAAATACCATGAATAATTAGAGAAGATATAAATGTATGTGCCAAAGGTTTAACATTTTGTCCAGTTTTTATCCAGCTTTAAAGCTACACCCTATCCTAAATGTTTAGACCCTGGTTCATTTTATCTACATGCTCTGACAAAGTGAAAGATCTTAGCCATCATGCGCTCAGATTTTAAGTTTCATGTTCCGACAGCCTGCCGAGGCTAGCACAACTGGCTTGTTTTTAGCTTAGGAGCTAACCAACAGGGAGTGCAGATACTGGAACAAGACCGTGACAATCTGCAAACTAAAGCCTAATCTCAGCAGCAGGTACACTTGTTGGACCCTTATAGGTAGGATTTGCTGTTTGATGCTGGATGTCCTGTCTGTGGATCATCTAATTCGCCTCTGCTAATACCTTATCAACGCTCTTGAATCCGGGTTGGAGCCCACGCGTCCACCGCATCTACTATCCATGGCTTCATTCACCTCCCCATCCAGCTGTGTCAGCAGTGCCAGCATGGCTGTTAAGATTGTAGAGTTGAAAGGAAGAATATCTACGCTCTACTGAGAGACCTCAATCAGTCCGAGTTGGCAACATGACTTCCAGCACAATCACGCTGAGCACAGGATCCCCTCAAGGCTGTGTACTTTGTGTGCCCTTTGCTGTTTACGCTGCTTACACATGACTGTGTAACGAGACACCAGGGGAACCTGATTTTCAAGTTTGCAGATGACACTACAGTTGTAGGGCACATCCATTGTCCACAATGAAGACGTGTAGGTCAAACATCTGAAGTGCTGGTGCAGAGACAGCAACCTCAATGTGGAGAAAATGAAGGAGATGATCGTTGACATCAGGAGGTCACAGCCTGAGCACACACCTCTCTGCATCAGCGGAGAGAGTGGACAACTTCAGGGTCCTGTGAGTGCAGATCTCTGAGGATCTCTCCTGGTCCCAGCATACCATCAGGGTCACAAAGCGTGCCAAGCAGAGACTGCATTTCCCCAGAAAATTAAAACGAGCATCCCTCCCCACCAACATCCTCACCACATTCTACAGAAGTGTGGTTGAGAGCGTCATGACATATTTCCACCTGGTATGCCAGCTGCAATGAGGTAGACAAAAAAGCCCTGCAGAGGATAGTGAGGACAGCAGAGAGGACCATTGAAGTGCCACTTCCCTCAGTCCAGGAACTTTTTCAGAGCCAATGCAGGGACAGGGCTCTGAGCATTATCAGGGATCCATCACACCCTCTCCACAGGAATTTTGAACTGCTGCCCTTAGGCAAATACTACCACGGTGTCAAGTCTAGGACCAGTAGACTGCTTAACAGCTACCTCCCACAAGCTGTTAGGATGCTAAACAGTTATACTGGACTCTCCATATCATGCACCTTATACAAACTGCACAGCACTGCACATGGTCACTTTTTATGCCAAATGCCAATTGTCACTTTTTATGAAAATAGTCCGTGCTAATGTGTGAGTGTCATACTGGACTTTTAGTTTGTGATTTATAGCCAGATAGTAAGGGTTTTATTGTATTTTATTTTATTTTATTTGTTATGTTTTTTTTTTTTTATACTTGTCTGCATTAGTCTTCATAGCTTAGCGCCACAAAAGGGTGTAAGCTTTTTATGAAGATTGATGCACTGTTAGTCTTGCAGTCAGATTTTTTATACCCATACTGTGCATGATTGTGACTGTCACCCACCCTCCCTGGAGACTAGCCTATCAGCCTTTATTGGAAAAACTTCCTAATATGAGCCAGAGAGGGCCGTGATACACCATAGTGTGTCAAGGGGAGAGTAAGGGACAAGCAGGGGGGATTGAGGGACAGGTGCTTAAGTCCTGAGTTATATAGCGACAGTGCATGCGGAGAAGAAGGAGAAAAAAAAAAAAAAACAGAGGAGAAACAGGCAGTGTAGCTAATGTATTGTGGCCTTGAGGTTGTTGTGCTCCATACAGATTACCGAAAATAAACAAATAAATGTATAATAAAGAAAAGAAAAGAAAAGAAAAGAAAAAAAGAAGTCTATACTGAACACCAGAAATGTGAGAGTCCTGGTGGTGGAGGAAAGCCCGATTGTGGAGAAGAGTTGCCAGAGCAGTGTGGTAGGTTTGAGAAGCAACTGAGCCCCTTTTGAGTGATCCCATCGGTTCCTTGCGATGCATCACAGAGCTGAAGTATCAGACATGCATGCGTGTATTTGAACCCTCCCAATGTGTTTATGAGAACCATCACCAGGGTCCAGGGCCAATGTCCCAGCCCAGCGGGGGAAAGCAGGCGGTAAGGCACCCCAAGGCCACAGGAGCCCCCAGACCCCACGCCCAGGGAGCCACAGAGGCCGCGGAACACCACGCAGGCCCATGGAACCGGGGCGGCAATGGCCAGCACCCCCAGAGAGCCAGAGACACACCCCAGATGGGTGGGGCAGGAAGGCCCACCCACCTAACGCAGCAAACCGACCCCCAGCAGAAGGATGAGGCACGCCACCAGGATGCACGGATGACGAGCCCCACCCAGCCCCCCGGACCCCAGCGCGCAGGAGCACAGGCCAACCCGCACCCCCGCCAGTACCCCCCCCCAGACCGCCCCAGACCCAAAGCTGGACCCCTGGCCCATCCGACCTGCCCCCCACCGCCGGCCGCACACCAACGGGCAGGCCCACCCTGCGCGGCGCCAGAACACC